TGATAAGTGGCAATGAAATATAGTCTCTTCTGCCCTCAAAACACCACAGAGTTGAGCTCCAGTTGAGTAATAACTAAAAGATAACTCTGAGTGATAGTCATGTTTGGTCCTATGACTCAAATCATTGATATGTATGAAGATTTTAAAGTAAAAAACCCTCTGCTTCATAAAAAAAGATCTTCACAAAATCCATTTTACATTAACTAGCACCTTTCATGGCAATTACACCAGAATGGACAAAGCTATTAGAAATCTTGGAGTTCTGTGCCCTGTTTGTATCTGGTTACAAACCCAGAACTTCATGGGCATTTTAGCTACAAACAGTAAATTAAGAAAGATGTCAAGGAAAACTTAAATGGATTTAATTGTTCTGAGGAATGAAGGAGAACCGGCATTAGAAGTACTAAGTAAACGAATTTACATCCAGTGTTCTCTAGATATTTTTTAAGGCACTTCATTCACCAGGCCACACAGTCTTTGATGGTTTCATGACACATAGAAGATACTTTGGCCACAAGAGGGCTCACATATTTTATCATTATTTTTAAAAAAATACAAGTATAATAAAATTATAACAATATAAAGGCTATATTCAAGGCAAATATCTGATGCCCAGATAGTCACACTGTCATGAAAAAATAATTTGCATAAACTATCAGAAAAAAATGAAGCAAAAATAAGGATGTTCCTATAGTCGACTTAGATCTCACCAGGCTTTTCATCAAAATGAATCTGTTTCTATGATGTTACAACAATTAGCTATGTATAAAATGACAAATTAATCTCTTATTTAAGCAAGTAATTTTAATGGTCTCTGTTAAAAAACCATCCAGTACCTACCTATTCAGGTAACACAGTGTATACTCATTAAAGTTGACCTGGTAAGAATAATAGAACTTTATTTTTCTACAGAGACTTGCATTATTGCTAAAAACACTGATAACACTGTCATTATATTATCAACGTAGTCTGTTCTCACCATTTTCAGATGAGAAGATAACTCAGGGCCTATTTCATTGAACTCTGAACTTAATGAGAAACTATTCATTGACCATAGAGATATTGTATCAAACTAAACAAGCATGAAGTACAATATAGAAAATTTGCTGTGCAATGGATGTACCTTCATTACAGTTCACCATTTGTAGGACAGAAATTACTGCATTTCCACACCTTTGATTGGTGTTGCGGAGATAAAAAAATACAGGAAAAGAACTGTCTGAAATACAGTAGAATGTGCAGTTGGTGGGAAATTTTGTTCTTTAAAATCTGGTATCAGTCCAGATGGATTTGAAAGAAACTTGAAATTCTGAAAAAAAAAATCTTGGAAAAAATGAAATAGAATCTTTACAAGATTAAATAGGTTCCACCAGGACTCCATAAATTTGAAATGAAAGTTTGTCTGATTCATCCTTACAACAGTAGCAAAGATACCACCGAGAACATATTAAAGTCACTTGGCATCTGCTAGGGCTCCCCTATCCTGTCATTCCAGGCAACTCTCACATACAAACCAGCTTTGGCTGTAAAACCCTACCGTTTCCACATCTTGTCCCACAGCTTTCAGACTGCAGTTCCTAGGTTCATAGTAGGGCCTCTGGAAGCTCTGACAACCCTTGTTAGAATGGAGGCTAAGGAGGTTTTCCATCCTATTTGCGTGCTGTTGAGTTCAGTCTTAGTAAAGCCTGCATGCTTCTTCAGACAATAAAGATGCTGAGTGCACTGCATAAAATATGCACTACTAAAACATTTAGCTGCAGGGAGAAAATCACAGACCTAAGACATGCCGCACAACTTCTTGTCCACACTGATCAGTACTAGTGACCTCCAGAGAGGACTGGTTGCATTCATACTGGGCCAGGTTGAGTCCCATGGGGGACATGTGTGGATTTTAGATATTCTTAGTCTGTAGTTTTCTACCTAAAATAGCACTGGGCTATGTCATGGCCTATGGGAGAGGTGTTTTTATAGCACGGTGCCAAACACGTGTTGCATCTTCTGAGATGTGGCCTGATGTTACGTGGGCATGCCATCTCATATGTACTGCCTGTAGGGAACAAACCAGCACCAGAACTGCTCTAAGGTTTTGTCTTGAGGAATTGGTTGGTCTATGCCGAAAAAGAACGAGTGAAGCAATAGAGACAGACTGAGGCTGATGGAGAACCAATACCTAAGGACAAATGTCAGTATCTACACCATTAAAAATTATTTGTCAGTATAGGTATAGTCCTAGCACATCTGGCTGTCCAAGTGCTACTTGCTCAAGAAACAGCATAAGGCTTTTTCAACGGGCAAGATTTATACTAGGACCAGCTTTAGACCATGGGAATTCATAACTTTTCCAAGGTTTTCAATCTCAGTCACAGCTTCATGGCAAATCAGAAAGCTATGTCCTGAGTAGCTGTGCTGGAGCTGTGTGACCTAGAAGCACTACAATTCTCAGCCAGTCTCTATGACTCTGAGCAGAGCTCAGTGGGACCCTCTGCGTTCTTTTGCTAGAAGTTAATTACATTTGATGATTAGAGGGAATTTGTGGGTTTTGACAATCAGCATTTTTCAGCTAGAATGTTTCAGAACATAGAGAAGGAAAATGAAGATTCTAGAGAGGATGGATAGAGCAGAGGAGAAAACTGGCTGAGGAAAAAAGTATGCATAAAGGAGAACTGTGATCACATGAACACCAGAAGCAAGCACTGTGATTCTGGGATAGAGAAGGTATAGTGAGAGAAAACAATGAAATATGAAACAAGGGAGATGAAAAAGACTTCTGGGAAAGAAGGGCATTAGGAAAGAAGACACAGAGAAACAAATAGGCTAAAAAAAGGAGTATTAACAGCTTAAAATCTCGTTCAAGACTGCCTAAGAAAGACGTTAAAGAAAAATGTAGTCTAACAGCACACAAAACAAGTTTTGTTTTTAAGAACTCTGAGTACTATTAACACAATCGCACAAAATTATGTGTCTGAAGTGTTTATCATTGTTACACGCAGGTTAACAGCATATTATTCAGTCCATTAATATTTAATTCCAATCTTTTAAACCTAGCTATTACATCCTCAAATGCTAATGACTAGGTAACAGAATAAAGTATATAACTACTTTAATTTTCACAAATATAATTTGCAAAATCTATAGGCCTGAAGTGTTTTATCAATGCAATCAATGCAATAATACTAAACCTGTTCTGTAGACTCTGGAATTTCTTTTTCCATATTGCATTATTTTGCTCAGCTTCCTTTCTAAGATAGGAAAAAAAAGGTGTAAAGAGAAGAAGTTAAATCAACACAGAGGCTTCTTAAATGTCTTCAAAGCACATCTTAAAAATTTTGGCCGCTACTTTTCTCTGGTTTGCCTTTCTTGATCTTTATGTTTCTTCAGTTTCTCAGTTTCAGCAGTCAGGCTTCTTTCAGCAGCTTGCTGCTCAGATACTACATATGTTATCTGAAAGTAAGTAAAACAATGTTTATTTTCTTCACGCACAATGCAAAAACAAATACAAAGTTTTGTTCGTACACAGTCCTATTCTTGGGACAAGTTTTCCTGTTTTGGGGCTGTTAGATATTTCCCATATCCTGTTAAAAATTGAAAGGTTTTGTAACCTAAGCCAGTAGTTCAAAATCGGCTCATTTTTTTTCTTTGTTTCTAAGGATTGTGACAGTTAGGCAACATTTTGCCAATAATAAAAACAGCACTGCGGATAATTAAATGCAATCTTGTCCTGTGTATATGTGTCTGAATCTCATCTTACTGCTATCAATGATAAAATTGCCATTGCCTTAAAAGGACGAGGACTCAAGGCCTACCATCATAAATTCCCCATGGCAAAACTAGTACCTTGTGCAAAGTATATGGTCAAGTGATCAGAACAAAGAATTGAACTCCTGACTCAGACCTAACTGATTTTCACGATTATGTCTATATTTGGGGTCCAGGAATGCTTCCTAATCTTTGCTTTTGTGTGGATGCCCTGACTCAAATCAGTTCCATGTCAAATGTAAGACCTAGGAAAATTCAGGTACACAGACTAGAAGGGAACTGAAGGGAACACTTTTCCTACTGTAAATTATATTCTACACAGCACAGAGCAAATCTGAACAAAACAAAGATGAGATGCTTGTTCAGTCCTCTCCCCAGCCATCTCCTCCTGCTTCTTCACACCTCACACAAATACCTATTCCCTCCCCCAAGAGATGTTTCATCCCTGTTACATTTCCACAGGTCTCCACACAGACACATTGGACATGAACCTGGTAATTCAAATATATTATCCACCCATCTGTTTGAACAGAACTTCCAAGCTTTTGGCAGTTTTGTGTTAAACCCTAGCCCTATTCAGATCAAGTCATCATTTTGTTTTTTCAGCTGCAGATACATTCCACTTTCTCTCAAATACACGCGTTGGTAGCTATGTGGCTAGTTCAGAGGTGTAAACATCAGAGTTAAAGAATAGATAGCATTGCAGATACATTGCAGTATCGGGCCTTTTTAAATAAAGAAAAGTAATTTTATCTACATACTGCAAATGAAATTCACTGCAAATGTTAATTATTACTAAATGACTGCAAAACCAATTGCATGGTCAAATTCTCCTTCCACACATGGATTTTACACTGCTGTAACACCCTAGATTTCAGTGGCAATATAGCTGGGTAAATGGAGAGTTTGTAAAAGCAGATTCAGGCCCATTGCAGCTATATGCAAAATGGGCTAGAGCTCAAGCCATGTGATAATGGTGTAAAGCAGCTCTAAAGCCACAAGATCTGATTCCCAGCTGCTTGAAATATAAGCATAATAGGGCTTCTGTAACCCTTACTGACACCCTCGCTGACTGCTGGGACACGGCAGGGTAGAAAAGAGCATGTCTAAAGACTTTTCACAGTCTGAAGATCCCCAGCTCTTGGGATGGTCCCCTGATGAAGCAGTGGCATTTCCGAACTCCAGTTCAGTATGGCAGTCAAAAAGAAGTGAATGACAGTTGCACTTGTGCTTCCTGTAACATTTTCTGTGAAAAGATGGTAAAAACCCTCACTTTAAAACTAATGCTAATAGCCTAGAAAGGCTTCAACCAGTTCACCTTTAAATATATAAATTCCCTCCATTATATTTTTCCAGCTTACTCGTTTTCCTCACTGCAAACCATTACCATGTCTCTCATTAGACCACTTTAATCCCTTCTGTACTTTGATATTCTTTCTACTTAGTTTTTATTTACTCCTCTGAAATCTCTGTCATCATGTGTATCTCTCAAAACCATGCTCTTCCTGGCTGAAAAGAAGAGCAAACCTCTTTTCAAATGGGGAAAGCAACCATAAACTGGATTAAAATTCAACTTTTGAAGTGAGACTCCTGCCCCTTTTCAAGAGCATCTCCAGCTGATTGAAGTGTATTAATACAGAAGGAGTCTTGATCAATCTGTTGATCAGAAAAGTCCTTGCTATTTAAACTGTATTTCGTATCCTTCAGCTTTAAAACCTCAGGCAGGCCTAATTAAGATTTTAGTCAGATTTATATATAAAATTGGTAAGAAACACTGAACACTAATGTGACAACCATTAGTGCATTAGTGCATTGAAATTTTTGCTTTTCAAAAATTGGAAATGTATAATTCTAAGTATTTATTACTGTCACTCATTCAACTCGCTGCAGAATGATGGACTAAATTTTATATCCTCTTTAAGGTGACTGAAGCTAATGAAATAAATTTATGTCCCCTCTTGATCTATCCAATGAAGCCCGGGTGAAGGGCTAAGAAATTATTACTTTCTTCCTTCACTTCAATTTAAGGTCTCACGTGCCTTCGTTTTTTTACATTAATGTTGTTCAGAGTAGGACACCAGGACACCCCATAACCATAAACCTACTGAATATTCTCCAGTGTGAGCTTCAGCTCTCACCAACCACCCTTGGTACATATGCATGGTCTTTGGACTGCCTCAACACATGACCATCTGTCATGATTGCATGGTGCCTCTCCACAACTGGGTCGGATCCTTGCCTGAGGGCATTAGGTTCCAGACAATGCTGGTTTAGATGAACAGTTTGGTTAACACTACAAGGGCCATCTGTTCTACAGGAAATCCTTTCTCTGTGTCATTAATGAAGGTCCCAGCACATAGCTATATATTTGTCTCCTTATATAAGCTTTTATGTAATAGGGATTATGAGGGCATGTTATTTGCAAATGAATCATTTGCAAAAATACCAAATTTCATTACATAAGTTTGTTTGATACACCTCTTAGTACACATGGAAACTAACCACATGTTTGGCAGAGGAAGTTATTGCTCAGCTAGCTAGTGTTACAGCATGGTTACACCACCTCAGTACCTCAGGCAATGTAAAAGAACTGAACCTCCATCTAAACCTTGCAAATAAAGTCTGTTGCCTCCTGGAAATCAAAATATAAATCCCATTGAACAGGATTCCAAAATTTAACTTTGGTAAGGAAGTTGAGCTCCTCTGCAGCATAAGTTAGGATGTTCCATATTAGCATGGTTATTATAATAACTATATTTCAGGGAAGATCTTTCATGTATTTCAGATATGTAATCAAATATTTAATCAATTTTTAGCAAACTAAGCATGGCCAGAATCTAATAACTAAAGTTTTTCATGTTCACTAAGCTTTTCATCCATGTTCAAACACACTTAGCTTCCAGTCACTGGAACTGTAACTTACTGAGTAGGAAAGAGCACTCTGCAACTAGTCTTTTGGTAACATCTCCCCCTCCTCCCAATCTCCTTTTCATCTTAAAAGATGAAAGTTTGAAATACAACATATCATACTTATCTCAGTACAAAAAGCTACTTATAGCTATATTGCAAAAAATTATTAACTACGGCATTTCAAAATATGATTAG